TTCTGAAACCCTCTTTTGCAGTGACTGCCCCCCTTCCAACCTCGTGTTTTTGATGACTAGTCCTCACTTTAGTCCGTGCCTGCTATCGTCCTGTTCCCGGTAACATCGGTTCACCCCTGCTCTCTTTTTTCTGCTCCAGTGAGGGCACTGTCGATCTTAAGTGTCGAGGCACTCTCTTTTTTCTACAAATTTATAGGAAAAATTTTTAATGATAAAATACATTTCCCTATACCACCCTGATATAGGTTAGTAACTTGTGGTAGACGGTGATGAAATGTGATAAATGACAGTTAGTATATTTCTACTAACATGTATACAATCATTCTACACCACAGTATATGCATACATACCATCATAGTACACATTCATGTTCATACCATATGATAGAATCTTATGTACTATCAAACATTACCACCTTGGTATGTACAGATAATAATGTCTCAAGTTTTTGTTCCAAAATATCAATCTGGATGTCATTTCAAACAGTACAATTAATATGATTTAACTGTGCAACAAGAATTAAATTATAACTTAAAATCAAAGTGATATAACTCATTAAAATTAATTGCGAGAAAAGTTAGTTATTTTCCATAAATGGTAAGTGCAGGGTTACGCATAACTATGAATAACATTATCACAAATAGGATCCGCTCTCGAGATTGACGATAAGATACAATTCTAATACATTGGTTACAAATGAATTACAAAATAACTAGTGTTGTCCATATTAGTGGTCAACAATTTACTGAAAATTTAGTTGGTAACCATGATTATCGGTTAAACCATTACCGATAATATCGGTTGGTGGTAAACAACAAAACACAAACAACATACCCGCTCATATCTGGTTAATTACCGGTGGTTAATCTGATAAATGAAACCCACCCATTGGCAGAGGCAAAACGACAATAGATTGATTTAGCCAACCCTAAATTTGCGTTCCCTTCCCCTGCATGCCTCACGTTGTGCGTACCATTCTCTTCTGGTCTCTCCATCTTCTCTTCTCCCTTCGAAGTTCGTTCACAGTCACTACTCACTACCAGTCCACTACGCACCGAAGAGCATAGAGGGTGACCATCATTGGTAGAAGCCCCACTAGCCACCGTCGAATCCTAACCCAATAAGATCAAAGCGAACTTCAGCCAACGCCGAGTGTTGCGGGCAGAGAAGTCGCATAGGGAGGACGACCTTCCGATAACTGGCAGCGCTGATGATTCTAGCATGAACGTTTCTCTTCGTCGCCGGTTGTACGGGTAACTAGTTTGTTAATCGATAATCGACTAGACAGTAAACCTGTAAACAGTCTGTCACCAGGTGGCGGAGCCACTTAAGACCAAAGTAGGTCATTTGCACCACCTTGGCCCAAAAATATAGAATAAATTTTTTATTTGATTGTGAATTGAATACAAGATCTTCATATATTGTAGACTAGGTTTGTGCCCGGCCTTTGGCCGGGTTAAATATTCATGTTTTATTTTTATTTCGTATTTTTCTTTATTATTTTAAAGATAGTCTATGTCGTCGCGTGATTAGATTTAATTTGGATTCACTTTCTTGTGTGGCAACTTGTTGTCTGGGTCGTTGGATTACAAATTAATGGAGTTTTTTTATGGTTTCAATGACATGATTTCACTTCATGTAGCCATGTAATATAGACGACCATACTATCTTTATGAATAAACAACCATAGGTATACAAAGATTAGAATAAATGTAAACTCCTTTACTAAAGTTTATCAACATTGAAGTGTCTAATTTGTCCGAGTGTATAAACTCAACATCTAATGTTGATAACCATAAAACACGATGAAAGAATTAGAAGTTCCCAAATATATAACTAATATTGAAAGGTGATATACTATGCATGCATAGTAGTCATTTGTGGGATTGTTTGCCAATCAGTTAGCGTTGTTGTTCGTAGAGTCAAAAGGAAGTCATGTCTTCATTGAACATTACTCTCTTAACTTTTCTGAATGTAATTGAATGTCTCCAATTCTCAACTGAAACTGCAAAGTAGACAATGAACCAATTGATTTAGGTATCTATAATGAGATGGTTGATTACCCTGATGTGGCTAATTAACTATATTTTAATTGTATTAGAGACAACCTATTTAGAGAAGACTAATAACTTGAGAGATCAATCCTGAAATTAAACAGCAAAGGAAACAAAATGCAGAACAAAAGGGGAAAACAGAGGAAAGTGGCGAAACTTGAATTGCCGGAGAGGTGTGTCGCCGATAAAATAATAAAATAATTAAAAAATTAATTAAAAAATTAATAGAAATTAAATAGAAATTACTAGAAATTAATTCATAAAGATCATGTTTACTAGAAATATCTATAAATACATTCATTGCTTATGTTGCGAAGCAAATCCTTTTTGATATACACAACTAAACAATGATTCATAAATTGGTCACTCAACCGATTTCAAAGTTCATTCCTTATTATCTTCACAGCTGAAAACTTTCGCAACTTTCAATTGCAACATGTAAAGTCAACACCAACTTCCAAAAGCAAGTAAAACTAAAGGGTAAAAGAAAAGGGAGAAGTGGTAGTGGCTCTCAGTAATTAGAAACTAAAACGGGGTAAGGGTGAGTTTTTTGTTTTCAATAAAGGATGGGTCAAGGGATGGAAACAATGAGTTTCAAAGGATGAGGGTATGTTTATTTTTTCCATTGTTGGGTTGTGGTAGGGATGACAAACAAACCCATGGTCACGGGTACCCGACCTCCTCCGGCCCAGTCAACGCGGGAATCCTTGCGTTGACTGGGTATGGGGCGGGTATGGATAAAACCCTCAAAAAGGTTGATGGGTATGGGGCGGGTATGGTTTTTGACTCTCTCGTCCCATACCCATACCCAAACCCGCCCACCAAGGATATTATGTTATATACATAAAATATAAGGAGTGTATTGTAACTTGTCAATCGAATGAAGGGTAATTAAAAGAAAAAATAAAGTGTTAAAATGTAATTGATGACAACCAAATCGTAATTTTATCCTCTTATGTATTAGTTCCATAATTTTGGGTGGGTAGTATCCATATTTGTCACCATATTATTTTATTAATGATGAGTAGTTGTTGGGGCGATATTACCCATGGGTATCCGCGGATATGGGGATGAGTTTGTAAGACCTTCCACTGCATGGGTATGAGACGAGTATGAGTTTGAATATTTGGAAATGGGGATGAGGTTGGTTTAGGAAAACCCGCCATATTGCCATCCCTAGGTTGTGGTGTAGGTTACTCTAAAACAAGCATAAATAACTTTGAAACTTATTTGAATTTACTTATTATTGTGTATTACTAATTAAGATAAATAACTTTATAGCAAGAAAATCATTCTCGTATAATGAAGGTGTGTCGCTTATAATTATTTAAGGTGTGTCGGAAGTTCCGAATTAAAAAAAATGTACCAAAAATATATAGATACTTCACAAAATTTCCGGGCGAGGGTGTGTCGGGCGACACACCCTGCCCTTTACTAGGTCCGCCACTCACAGAGGACCTTTTGGAAAGTGAAGCACTAACATTCATCGCAAACAACAATTTGAGGCCTAAAATTATTCAGCATGAAAAGAACAAAAGCAACCGAATAGAATGAGAAAAAATAACTTAATCACTCACATAATAATAATATCAATGCATGTGACAATCATTCGTGACTTCTCTTATAGTTTTGGCAGATGATGATCTCTTACTGGAGAAAGAAGTGATTTTTTAATCTGCATGAAGGCAAACATTACCAATCTTGCCTCTCATCCGTGAATCACACTTCCATCGTATATATTGTGATTTTGAAACATCAATTGGCCTATGATTACCGGAGAAGTATGTTACTATTTGGGACTTGGAATCGAGTCTGACAAAGCATCTTGTCCGAAGAACCCCAAAGATGGAAGAAGGAGAACATATACACAAACCGATTGAGAGTAGAGACACAGACAGAGAGCCGCGACTATATAAACAGGATCGCCTCTGAGTGGACTCAAGATTGCTTGTTGTTTTGATTTGGGATGTTGTGGAAGGCTCAAAGTATTGGTAGCGTAGGATGCGTTGCGTCGACGGTGAAGTTGCTTCTTCCAGGCTTTGTCGCGGCCTCGCGGGGATGAAAAAGGTTGGAGATTAGAGAAGGAACTGCCGGCGCGGTTGTGACTTGTGAAGTCAATGGGTTAAATAAACTGGCTGGATTTCTTTTTCCCGGAGAGAGGATTTATATAGCGTTGGCGTGGACAGGCTAACTTTTGAGGAGGGCTTACGTGGATAAGGGCCAATTCTCAAACTGCTTTAATATTTTGTAAGATAATTTCATTAAAAAATAATGTTTAGTGATCTATATTTAACTTTTCATTCATATATTCTCTAATTGAGTTTAATATAAACAAAAGCTCGAAACTTATTGGTGTTTGTTGTTATCAGTTGCCATTGCAATTGTTGAAATGACACTTTTAGGGTAAACAAAGTGAATAAACACTTCAAAATAAGATGAGTTGTAGAATCATGAACGATTTTTCGTTGTGGTATCTCAACGTCCCTCATAATTTGTACGATGAATGTATTTTAGAAATTTTTTTAGAACATGAACACATTCCAAAACTTGCTCCCCCCACATTTGACCTCCCTTTGATGAATTTCTGACTACACCACTAGCATAGACAGTAGTTTATTGTCATAATTTGATTAAATAATTAACGATTAAACCAATTACCGACCGATTACCACTCCTAAAAATAACTACGCATTAAAAAATCGTTTATTAAGAAATTAGACCTGGTTGTTGAACCAAAGACCACCAATCCCTTTTAATAATAAAGAAATATATATGTGAAGATACTAGGCATCTTTTGGGTCCACTCACCGGATTTTCGATCAATGCAAATTCTAATATACTCCCGCAACTTTACCCAATTTCCAATTATTGTTCCCTGGTGACCAATCCGATTCTGTTTTTTCCTTTTTTTAATTATAAAAACTAAAAAGTAACCCAATTCCTTCGTTTCGTTTTTTTTTTAACATATAAATAATCCTCTTTTTGCTGAAAAAAAAGGGAGTAAAAATATTTGTTTAAGTTGTAAAGCAACAACTGGTTAATTGGGAGTGACAGGGTGCGGGAGCGAGACTCTGCAGCAGCTCCGCTCCATCTCTGTAACTGTGTCAATTTGGCTTTTTGTCTTTAAGCTTTTTGGTTCTTGGCTCTTTTCTCTCCGTGGGTACCGTGAAATGAAAAAGAAACTTTGTTCCTTTTCACTCATCTTCTCTCCCTAAAACATTTGCCTCAAGAGTGAGGACGAAGGTAATGGCGTTGTAGGAGTCAAGAGGGTAAGAAAGACGGAAGAAGAAGCAAAGAACAGCCATCTGAAAGGCGAGAACAAAAACAAGAAGAATTGAAAGTTGGTAGAAACCAGCCTTTGTGGGGGCATTTGAAACCAGAGTTCGAGGTCTTTTATTTATTTATTTTTGGAGCAGAAAAACATTCTCAGATCTCTAGGATCTCAGAATTTCAGGGAAGGGAGCGAGGAGGCGAGTTGGAGCTTGGATGTTCTTGTTCGTTTCTCGTGAAGAAAAGAAATTCCCTCTGCTTTTCCTATTCTTCCCCATCTTGGTAATTCAATTGGGAAAGCAGCTAACTTTGGTGTCGGCTTCTCTGGGAAGGCTTGTTGGTTGCAACTTTAAGTGGAGAAGCGGGGGATTCCTGGCCGATTATGGGAACGGTGGCCTTATGCCTTAAATGGGTTCTAGAGCTTGAGTAAGAAAAAGGCGAAGCAAGTTGGGAAGGTTTGGTTTGGATAAGAGGGTAAAGAATTGTAGTGGGTCGTGCAAAAAGGATGGCTTGTCGGGTTGGTGGCTGTGGTTGATTGATGAGAGTGTCGTGGTTGTGGCAGGCAGAGCGAAGGGGGCGAAGAATAGGAGTGACAAAATTTGGTGGAACTGTGAAGGAAGAAAGAATATGGAAGGAAGGTGTTTCAGGATTTGGGAGTTTGGATTTCTGGTTTTGGCATTAATGGAGATATGCTCTGCAACTCTCTCCCCTACAGGCATTAACTATGAAGGTCAGTATTATTTTTTGCCCTTTTCTTCTCTTCCTCAAAAATTTCTCTCACTGCTAGGAGGTTCCGTTCTGCCAAGACCAGAATTCAACTGCTAACCCTTGGGTTTGCGATTTTTTCCCCCTTTTGCTTTCTGGAACCAGTGGTTGCTTTGGTTGCCATTAGGAATGCTCTACACGACCCCTACAGTGTTCTGGATAACTGGGATGCCAATTCAGTGGATCCTTGTAGCTGGAGGATGGTCACTTGCTCATCAGACGGTTATGTATCTGCTCTGTAAGTTTCTATTCTATTCGAGGAGTCTCTGTGTTTTTCGCTGTGTGTCACAGTTCATTTATGTTGCTGATGGGTCCATATAAATTCTAACTGGGATAGAAATCATTTCCACAAACAGGGGACTTCCCAGTCAGAGCTTGTCTGGCACCTTATCACCTTCAATTGGGAACCTTACTAACTTGCAATCAGTGTAAGTCATCGTAGACCAACTCTCCGTGTTTAAAACTTTCTCATTCCCAATCCCTTTTCCTGGTTTGCTTCATCTTCCAAGTCCTTTCTTTCTTTTGTTCTATTGTTCTCCAGGTTGCTGCAAAACAATGCTATTTCAGGCCCCATCCCCAGCACAATTGGGAAACTAGACAAGCTTCAGACGCTTGATCTGTCCAACAATTCGTTTTATGGCGAGATACCGGCTTCCCTAGGGGATCTCAAGAATCTTAATTACTTGTAAGCTCGGACAGTTTTGTTTTGTTTCATTTCATTTCATGCCTTCTGTCGTTACTGGAATCCCCCACAAATTCATATGGTTTTGATTATTATTTCAGGCGCTTGAACAACAACAGCCTTACTGGATCTTGTCCTCAATCTCTGTCCAATATTCAAGGGCTTACCCTTGTGTGAGTTCTCATGGACTTCCTCACCCTGGATGCTTATACAGTTGCAGGGGTGGCTTGTACCTATTTTTAGACATGAATAACAACAGTGTTACGAGGTGTGCGTATTAATACTCATTACCGAAGTGATCTTTGTTTTCTAGGGATATCTCCTTCAACAACTTGAGTGGTTCACTGCCAAGAATATCAGCAAGAACCTTCAAGTGAGTGAGCTGTGCATCTACACCTTTGGTCTTATGCTGATGATGCCCTCAGCCTCTTTTTATCCTTTTCACTATCTATCTGTTGCTTGTACACCCATTTTGATATGTTGTTTTCTCGTATTGCTAGAGTCATTGGCAACCCTCTAATTTGTGGACCTAAGGCTGATAACAACTGTTCTGCTGTGTTTCCAGAGCCCCTTTCTCTCACACCTGAAGGTGCGAACTCTTTGTTAAGTACACATTTGGGATCTCTGTTTTTAAGTGTCTTCAATATTTTGTTGCTGAAATTCTTGTTTCATTTGTTGGATTCTCAGCTTCATCAGATGCTACGTCAACCAGTCACCATGTGGCCATTGCTTTTGGTGCAAGCTTCAGTGCTGCATTTGCCATTATACTAATCATGGGATTGCTCGTATGGTGGAGATATAGACACAACAAGCAGATTTTCTTTGATGTGAATGGTTAGTATTTGAAAATATCATGGCTTTGCCTCTTTCCTTTCTGAAGCCTTCTGCTTCTGTACTTTGTTTTTCTATCCGTGCTTAATGTTGTCAGTTATGTTTGGACAGAGCAATATGATCCTGAGGTGCGGTTGGGACATTTGAGGAGATACACTTTCAAGGAGTTGAGGAGTGCAACTGATCATTTTAGTGCGAAGAACATCCTAGGAAAAGGCGGGTTTGGGATTGTTTACAAAGGATGCTTCAATGATGGGAGTGTTGTGGCTGTTAAAAGGCTTAAGGACTACAATGCAGTTGGTGGCGAAATTCAATTCCAAACAGAAGTAGAGACGATCAGTTTGGCTGTCCATCGCAACCTCCTCAGGCTCTCTGGGTTCTGCACTACTGAGAACGAAAGGATTCTGGTTTACCCCTACATGTCTAATGGCAGTGTTGCATCTCGGTTAAGAGGTAACTCGTCATCTCAACTCCATGTGATATCATCACTCTTCTAATCACATGTCTGTCATTGCTCTTCCAGAAGGCTGGTTTCCTCACTTGTTTTTGGGATTCTGTGACCACCACCAGATAACATCCATGGCAGGCCAGCTTTGGATTGGGGAAGGCGTAAAAAGATAGCTTTAGGCACAGCAAGGGGGCTGCTTTACCTACACGAGCAATGTGACCCAAAGATCATCCACCGGGACGTTAAAGCTGCCAATATTTTGTTGGATGAAGACTTTGAGGCTGTTGTTGGGGATTTTGGGCTAGCAAAGCTCCTGGATCACAGAGATTCACACGTAACCACTGCTGTGCGTGGCACTGTTGGGCATATTGCTCCAGAATACCTGTCTACAGGTCAGTCGTCGGAGAAGACCGATGTCTTTGGATTCGGGATCCTGCTCCTCGAGCTGATAACAGGCCAGAAGGCATTGGATTTTGGAAGGGCAGCACACCAGAAGGGTGTAATGCTTGACTGGGTATTTATTGCTTAAACTACAATGGCGTTACTTTTTCAGAGCAGACCATGATGATTAATGTTCTAACGAAACCCAAGTTGTTCTCTTTGCTGCCTTTGCGTACAACAGGTCAAGAAGCTTCACCAGGAAGGGAAACTGCAAGTAATGGTGGATAAAGATCTGAGAGGCAAGTTTGACCGGGTGGAGCTGGAAGAAATGGTCCAAGTTGCGCTATTGTGCACTCAGTTCAACCCTCTTAACCGCCCAAAAATGTCTGAAGTCCTAAAGATGTTGGAAGGAGATGGGTTGGCTGAGAAATGGGAGGCGGCATCTCAGAACCTCGAAACTCCAAGGTTCAGAACATGTGAGTACCCCCTTCAAAGATACTCCGACTACATTGAAGAATCTTCGCTCGTCGTAGAAGCAATGGAGCTTTCTGGTCCACGATGATTGACGAACACCAAGACACAAATTTCGCCAGAAAGAAAACTGCAGCAATGCGCGTCAGAGCTCTCGCATTTTCATTCTGTACAAACCTGTTTTTTCCACGTTTCTTGGAAAGGGGGAGGCGGGAGGCTGTATTCCACGAGAGATCAGAGTATGTCTAAAGATTTAAGAAAAGGAAAAAAGAGTTGTAGAGGTTTGAAAATGTGATGCTGGTGGTGTCTAGTCATTGTTGTTGATGACATCGTGGTGTGTAATTCATCTGTAAAAAGAACTAATTTGTGGCTTCTTTGACTAGAAATCATGTTTGGCTTCTTTGACCAGAAATCGTTGAAGATTGTTGTTCCTGTTATCAGTAGATTGATCAGTTCCGGGGAGTGCAAATTTGTAAGGGCTTTGCAACATACAAACCAAGACCATACCATCTTTTAGACAATTAGGTCTCGTATTGTTCAATGCATGCATAGTAATATACATGTATATAAGAAAATTGATGTATTGTAGTTTACATCGTTTGTTTTTGTGATAGTTATTTTAGTATTTAAATAAAATATATTGCTTTCTTGGTGAAATGTCACTTTTACCATTTATTTTTAATATAAAAAAACAAAACACATCAAAAGGTAGGGACATAGTTGGAAGAAGAAAACACTCCAACAATCTCAAACAAACAATTTCAACAATCACACAAAAAACTTGAGATATTTTCATCACTCATTTTGAATGATAGTTTCCATCACATCAAACAAACAATGCAGATATTTGTTTGTGCTGAAAAAAAAAAACATTAAGGAAAATGCATACATTGTAACTATGCAATACAAAACTCCATCATATATGGAGATTACTGGATTTACAAAATATGATCTGATAGTTGTAATTTGAGAATCAAACAATTGATGGCCCACACCAAAGAGGGGGATAGGAGGGAAAATAGGATTCTTTGGGATAGCTGGGCAGATTTTTAGCGTTGGTACAAATTTAGAGGCACATCATCAAAACACTTTTCAAATTTCTTAGGAAATTTTTTTTACAATAAATCTCTTATGAAGTTGAATGGACCATATCTCATTCGTTTTTAAAAAAAAAATGATAATTTCTAATAAGATAATATACATTTTGATAATTTTTAACAAAAAATTTTGACGTCATCTTTACATCGTCATATCATGCTACTATGATAATATCATGATGATCACAGTCACACCATAGTAATAAGAACATTGTATGATAGTGACGAGATGTATTATGAAGTCTTACAATAGTGGTATGATATTGTCAAGACATTGGTAATATAGTATGAAGTCGTATCTTTGAACAAAAAATTTAATGTCATAATGTCACTGTCATATTAATATATATATATATATATATATATATATATGGGTCACACTCGTATGCTCCTGACGCATAGCATGTTCCAGGCCATCAATACCGTTGATCTAATCTAACGACATTTATTAATTCTAATTAAACTATTTATTAATTACAAATTTTAAATAATTAGTTCATCCCATTACATTTTTATACATGCTCTTTAGTCCCTATACAAAAGTTTTCACATATTCCTATACTACGGTCCCTAATTTTTTCTACATCATAACTTAACGCTCACTTTTCTGATTGTGTCTCCATTAACTCCAAATCCCCCTTTCCCATGTGCCCTTAACCGTTACTGACGAACCCTCCCCTCTCCTCATCCCCTCACTATCAAATCAATTCTCCTTCACCCTTCAATCGACGACCACCGAATTTTTTTGTGCTTCCCATCAATATTACGGATTAAGGTTAAGGGTGTCATCGATTAGTGTATGATAGCCACCTAACCATGTGCTGAAAACGACAAAATCTCTGCTCCTTTTGTTTTGGGATTTCATTGCTCCGATTGATATTTGTTATTTGGTTGTGGTGGTGTGGAAGATTGGAGAAAGAGTTTATTTGATGCAGATTCGTGATGGTGGTGGGTCGCGTTCGATTCTGCCGGATTTTACATGGGTGGGTTCTTTCCTGGTTTCAGACTATCGAACAAGAACGACAGCAGCAACGCCGGCTGCGGAGCTGGAAGTGGCTGCGAAATCAAGAGATTTGGTGAAGCTCAGCTCTTCATTGTCGGACCAACCATTGATAACCTCACCAAGGATGAAATGCTTTAGGTATAAATTCTCTATATGATAGTCTAGATGAAATGGGAGTTCTTTCTACTCCTTACTGGATTCGATTGACACATGACAAGCTCTGAGCCGTTTCTTTGTGGATCCTTTTTTGTTTGCGGGTTGAGAATCTATAGTGGTTAAAAGTTTGGTTGTTCCTAGTCAAGGGTTTGAGCAAAGGAGCTGGATGCTCTTTACTGAGAGAAGGAGCTGAAATAGGCGGCAGATTCTTTAAGCTTAAAATGTCAAATCAAAGCTTGATGCTGCTTTTGCTTTGCTGGTCGATCTTGAGGCTGAATTGGCAGCTTAAATGGAGCGAAAGATAAAGAGGAAAATTCTGAAGAAGCTACAACACATGGGGCCATAGACGAGACATCACACATATATTCAAGCAGCCGTGGCTTCAGCGAAGAAGGAACTTGAAGAAGTGAGGCTCAAGCTCAACATTGAGACGGCAAATGATGAAGTGAATTGCTTAGTTGGCTACTCTTTGTAATGTTTTTTAGGTTGGATTTGGTAGAATGTTGTAATTTCTTTTGGCATTGATGCTTGTACATCCAAATTCAGTTAGGTTTTGTCATTCTTATATGTATGATATGATTACTCCATCACAAGATTTCCAGATTTCATGGTCTCTTAAGTTCTCGGTAATGTTGACAACATGCTGCTATTAAGTGCTAACCAAGACAACATCCGTAGGATAAAAAAGAGATAAGAGTAAATGACACAGTGGAGAAGATTTCACTTTACATGCACCAGCCTAAACTCTATATAACCAGAAAAGTTAAACCAATCTCAAGTCATGATAATGTAAACTGAAATTGTGTGCGTCTAACATATCCAAGAGAAATGCAACAATTAATCTAATGAAATGTAGTGAAACAGGTCATGAACAAGTCCTTGAATCGTAAAAGCAACCATAAATTATGAAATTCAGGAAGCACTATCTCCCTATGCATCATCTAGTTCTTGTTTAGCCTGTTTTGATTTTTTTCCTTGTACATATGAGTCTCGGCTTCAAATCTCTGCGCATTCCTATTTGCTTCCTTGATGACCATATGTCTGTATGTAATTTGTAGGTTGTTTTCCAGATACAAAGTTATTTGCTTCCTTGATGACCACATGGGTCTCAGTAACATATTCATCGGGTTGCTTCACTACAAGGCGAAGTAATACAACATTACGGAGAAACTTCATCATATCAATTCTCTTAGAACTGTCACCAACACCTCTGAGGAGGAACTCCATACCATTACCAGCTAAGCTCAGTGGCTTCACTACCATGTCAAAGCTCCTCTAAGATCTTGTGATATAGAATCGGGCAATGACTCCACCATCAGGATTTGCTCAGCCCAACTTGAACTGCTAGTGCAAAATCTGAAAAGGTAGTACATGACCATGGTTCATAATATATTACCCATAAAACAAGAAAGCTAGTGTAGAAACTATAACAAGTGTGACATAAAAGCTTGGGACAAGCATATTAGATTTAAGCACATATCTAAACACAACCATTTTCTGGATATGATATGCCTAGCCTACTCTGTTAATAAAAACAACGGCATCAATAACATGAGAATGTTAGGTGCAGCTCTAGATAAAAGAGATTACAAGTTTAGACACTCACTCGTACAATGGTTGAACGGGCGCGATAAATGTAGCTCTTTTCCATAAGAAAGAAAAACTGCACATGGGTGGGAAAGAAGCTATCTAAATCGAGAAATCGATGAGCTCCGTCCCAAACCAAGCTTCGTACTGAAATCTTAACAAAAACACGAAAACAGAGAAGAATTAGAGGAAGAAATGGCATTAAACGTGGCTCACCAGGTCGGAGCTCTCGTCGGGGCTCCAATCGGGGTCGAGGCCGTCGTGTCTTTGATCGATTCTTCTGCGGCGGCGGTGGCCATCTCCGACGACAATTAATTATAAGATCCAGAAGGAAAACGGAGGAGCAGAGCATAGGTCACAACTCACAACCGATGGTGAGGACTGCTTGCACGACAATGAGTTGGCAGCGCTGCAAGGGTTAGAACGAAAGAGATAATGTTTCAGTGTGTGGGGTGGGGAAGGCGACTTATGATGATAGGAATGGGCCAAAATTTTGGCGGACAACACAAATGGTTTTGTGAAAATGGAAGAGGGAATCAGGGAAAATTCAAAAATATTTGACTCCTTCCGTTTAAACTTTAAACTGAAAATGTGGAGGGAATCATAAATGTAATTACTAATTATCAATTTCATCCCAAATAAAATTAGGAGTACATGTAGTAGTTTAGTTATAAAAAAAAATTAGGGGGTCGTTTTGGATTGAGTATTTGATAAACTTGTTGTTTGGGGCCAATTACCACACAAATACCACATAATATAAAACTTGTTATTTGGTATGTGATATTTGGTCTCAAACTTGTTATTTGGGAAATACCTGCCCCCTCCCAAGTATTTGGCAAACAACACTTTTTGTGTTATTTGGTCTCAAACCTGTTATTTGGCAAAACACTACATCCAAATAACACATCCCACTTTTTGTCAGTCAAACATGTTATTTGGGGTTAAATAACATATTTTGTGTTATTTGACCTCAAATAACACCCCCAAATACTCAATCCAAACGACCCCTAGGAGTACATGTTCGAGTGATTTAGATTTAGTCGTTTTATCACCCGATTCATATACTTCGGTTTTGAAAATATTAAATTCAAATTCTTTGGAATGGGTGGTATTTTTGTAAGTTTTTTTTAAACAGTGGTAGTTTTGAATTTTTTCCAATATGTTTTGGGTGTGAAGCTCAAGACAATAATTGTAACATGGGCTAGGTCACAGATATACGAGGTTGCTATCATACAGGTTGAACTCAAGACATTCGAACTTATGATGTACATGTTTTAGAATAACATTTTAATCACTATTAAGGTTGAAAACATATGGGGTACCTCAAAACCCATACCCATTAAGTGCAAGTTAGTACGGGTAATATCCGTGCAGGTATGGGCAGGGCAGGTTGACCTACTCTTATATGTTATTTGAAAAAGAAGGTCGATATTTAACTCTTTTACAATAACACATAGATAAAATACTTCGTAAATGAATGATAAGTATAGTAGAAGGAATCATTTAGTATAAATAATTGAAGGATAAAATACTTCGTAAATGAATGATAAGTATAGTAGAAGGAATCATTTATTTGGAATGAAAAATGATTTTATAGAGGTCAAAAGATGAGAAATAAGTGTAGATATTGGTGCAGATAATGATAGAATGGGTCAAGAACAAGACAGGGCAGGTCGGAAGCAATACCCATGCCTCGCCCCACGCTACAGAGGTCGGGTAATACCCCTCAAACAGGTCACAACAAATCGGGCCGCATAGGTCAAGTAAAAAATTGTCTTCGCTACCCAACATTCCCAATATATGTGTATGAGACTAATCAAACCCATGAATACTTGACACTTTTATCTAAGCATTTTATTCATATGTATAACTTAATCTTAATCAATCGATAAAGATAAACGTTTTTGAGACTAACATACTACAGAATTGGATCTAGGAGCACGTCGAAGTTGTCTTCATGCTTTACTATCTAAACAAATTTGGTGGTTGTCGCTTGTGATGTGTTATGCCATAGCAAATTCATATAGTGTTCAATAGTCCATACTTTAATAGTAATTACTCCGATTCAGTAATTAAATATCAACAATTACTTTTCACATCAATCAATTAAAGAATATATTTTTCGAAGGAGAACTCATTACATATCTTGTGCATCAAAGATTGTCAACGTAGTTTGGTCCGTTGGCCCGGTCGAGCAAGTAAATGAAAGGTTAATGAACGAATTAGATTAGCCCGATTTAACCCCGTTACATAAAAAGAGCTATGAAAAAACCCTAATATGTGTTACCGTTTTAGACAATCATTTGAACCCTAAAAAAACTAGTTAAGTTAAAAGTACTCCTTAAATAATGCTTCAACCAGATTGAGCCATTACCGATATGGATCATTCACAAAAGCACTCATATATGTTGAAAGCACCCACATAACTGATAATTCACATAACTATTCAAAATTTAGTCATAGATCCTCAATTAGAAAGTTTCAAAGAATCAAAGAAACTAGGGTAAATACAATATATTAGTCACAACTATTATGATGTGGGGAATTATAGCCATAATTATTGAAATTCAAATTACTAGTCAAACGTTAACTATCTGTTAACAATTTCGTTAGTAATACTGACTACACTTTTATGTATTAAAGTTATAAATTAAAAGCAGTCCGATGTGGCTGCTGCCGTGGCCGATGACGTGGTTTTTCCGTTAAAAATTCAATAACAGTAACCCGCAGTTAGCCATATGACCCGCAACAATAATTATTGCTAATAATTTGATTTTCATAGTTGTGGCTATAATTTCCCGTTTTATAATAGTTGTGGCTAATATATTGTATTTACCCAAGAAACTATATGCATCAATTAACTGAAATGGAAGGCCATTAAATGAATTGGGGCAACTAAATTAAGGTGCTTTTCAAGTTATAGCAACGTGTGGGACTATTAACCACTATATGAAATTGAAGACAAATTATCTTTTGTCGAGAAAGTACTACATCAATACGTTACATTTTATTACTAAGTCGGAGCAAATGCTATTAAAGTATATAGACTATTGACCACTTTATAAATTTGCTATAGAAGGATCTTATTAATTCGATAGTTAGATGCATAGCATAACACATCACAAGCGACAACCACCAATTTTGTTTAGATAGTTTGTCTTGAAATTATGCATCTGACTATCGAATTAATAAGATCTATTTATAGAAAATTCATATACAATTGTGGTCAATAGTCCCATACTTCAATAGTACTTACTCCGATATAATGGTTAATAATATTTATAGAAAGGTGTCGATGTAGAAGAATATACTGATAAGGTTACTAAAATTGTTTACACATTGGGCTGATGTTAAAATATTTTAACTTGTGATCTTTTTTTTATACATTTTTTAACTTGTGATATTTTCCAGCTTTTATTACTTAAGCCCATGTATGCGGCCCAATTCTAGTTTATAGGAAAGAAAGTGACGGAGCTTCAAGCTTCATCGTTTCATTCGTGTGCGCTAAGCCCAATATTGGTTTCTGGCCCATCGGACTTCTTCATAGCAGATTCACACGTCATCTTCTTCCTCTACCTCCTCCCCTCTTGTCACGGTTGTTCTGCAACCTAGTGACATAATGAAGTTAGAGAATAGGAGCTTCTTTACCAATAAAGAAAAGAAAAAAAAACGCTTCGCCTAAGGAATTATGCTACGGAGCCACAAGCCAACAAATAATCAAAATTTAAGGTTAAGGATCCTTTATCTCTTATTTTCACCAGTTGATGGATAGTAGAGATGCAGCAAGAAGAAGATGAAGGGGGCAAGAAGAGATGAAATACAAAATTAAGAATTAAATTCATTTAATCGATTACTACCGTCACCATTACCTGACGGAGGTCGGAGGCATCATTATTAGCATTAGGGTTGGGACCGTAGGGCCATGTGGGCCATCGACGACGGAGCTTAACGGTAGTGCCAAGCTTGATTTGCAGGAGTGGGAGGCCATGGCGGTCGAACGTTGGGACGAGGACGAAGCTAGATCTACGAGCTGCAGTTAGTGATGGTGAACAACAGAACGAGGTGAGCAAGCAACAAGGCTTTGTGTGTTGATGGTGAAATGGGGGTTTGGGTTTGTAGGACGATGACGACGGCGTATAAACATTAGGGCTTTAGTTTTATTTAATCAATGGGATGCTTAAAAGTATGATTAAAAGAAATAAGGTATGATAACATCATTTATGATGATAAAAATAGTTGGGTGTTTATGATGCACATATAATTACTAAAGGGCTGCAATTTGTAATTATAACTATTAATAATTAAATACCTTTATTATAATAAATCATGACCGTTAGATTAGATCAATGGTGTTAAAACCTAGAACATACTATGCGTCTGAAGCATACGAGTCGTATCCATATATATATATATATGGCAAAGGCTAGCGTATGCCCGGACGTACCCTAGCCTACCGTACGCCCGTTGAGTTTTGCTATTTAGACAATGAATTAACCGGAGTTTGGGGCATGATACTATAACCTAAACCCTAATGGGTGACCCTAGTCCGCAATTCACTAACCCAAAGCATAATATTTATTTAATCTTGAAATGAAAATCAACGATTCTAATTCGTTGAAACTATTGTTGATTTTCATTTTAAGATTAAACGAATCTCATGATTTGGGTTAGAAAAC